AATAGACACGTTTGTTTTCCTTACCCTCAACCAAATACCGAACAACAACAGTCACCTCAAGTCACTGTAAAAATAAAACCCCAACAACAACAACAACAACAACAACAACAACAACAACAACAACAACAACAACAACAATAATAATAACAATAATAATAATAATAATAATAATAACAATAATAATAATAATAATAATAATAATAATAATAATAACAATAATAATAATAATAATAATAATAGTCTTCTTATCAGTTGGTTCTTTTATTTGAAGAGAGCATATAAATAGAAATCATTGTGGACCGATATAAAAATACATTTTGTCTTACAGTACATTTAAATTAAAACATATATTATCACCTGTGAAACAAAATAAATACATGATTGCCAGCTGCTTGAATTACAAAAATAAAATTATCAACATGATAAAACTATGTACAGCACTGAGGCCAGTATGTAAAACTGTAAAATCAGCTCACATGCTGCTCCTTTTCACATTAACAGACAATAGCGTGATACACTTTACAGTCGTCACATTTCCATGGCGCAAGGCTTGTGCTGCTGTTCAGGCCACCAGGTTGAAGGGAGGCTCGTTTTCGATGTCTGTGAGGCCCGGTTTACTGTGCAGTTTTCGGGGGTCCTCCGGTGTCCAGACTTTTGCTGTACGGATGATGTTCTGCTCCCGGAGCTGCTTTTCATCCGACCAAGACAGCGAGTGACCGGCCAGCGGAGGCAGGCCGTAGTCAGGGTCGCTTGGCGAGGGGGACCCTGGAGGGGGAAAAACAAAAATTAATAAAATTTTCATAATTGTTTATTTTAATTTCCGCACCACTTTTTTGGCTTTGTATTATTTTGCTTTTTTCGCACCGTGACACCATAAATCTGACTCTGACGATTGTCTGATTCAAATTAGATGCGCCCACAAGTCTCTTATTACGCATAAAGTCAGGCTTGGTTCCATTACGACCACGGTAAAAACAAAGGCGCACTCACTTGTTCCTCTGTGGCAGATGATTACTTTCTTGGGCTGCGCGTGCATGTCGCTGCTGGAGTTTCTAATAGGAAGGTCAGACTGCACGAGCTCAGCCAGGAAGTTGATGTAGCCGATGGCCAGCCGCAGAGTGTCCACTTTAGAGAGTCTCTTCTCGTAGGGCAGAGTGGGGATGTGGGAGCGTAGGCCCTCGAACGCGTCATTGATGGACTGCATCCTCCGCCGCTCCCTGACGTTGGCCGCCTGCCTCAGCTGCTGCATCTCCATCTCAGACCTCATCCGCCTCCTGCGCTTCAGCAACGGCCCGCCGTGATGGCCCATCCGAGGAGACAGCTCGGGCGTGCTGTCTGCGCAGCCGTAGGAGAAGACGGAGGACGAAGAGGAGAAGGACAGGTTGCCGATGTCGTAGTCTCCATCGTGAGGCGGTGCTCTGCCGCTGCCGTCTTTGCTGTAATAGTCTTGAAAATTACCCGAGAGGAAGTCCACTTCGTCATCCAGAAAGTCATCCGTCTCCAAGTGTCCATCTCGAGAGGACTGGTCGGTGAAAAACTCGTCATCGTCGAAATAAGGAGGGGAGGAGAAAGAGTCGAGTCCAGAGAAAGGGTCCAGCACCCCATCCATGTTTGTTTTCTTCCTGCTGTTACTGCGGAAACAATCACACCCGTCTTTCCTTTGACACTGTGCTCGCGCTCTGCACTAGCTGAACTTTTAGCTGAAGAACAGGCACGCGAGGGTTCTTTATAGCGACATCCATAGTCGCGTGCCGTTTGCCAGGCGGGCCAACCAATCACAGCTCGGTCCGTGAGACGCACCTCGAGATAGTCCCCAAACCACGCCCCTTGTCCCCGCTGTCCGAGCTTGCTCTGACGTCTTAACTGAGCTCCACCAGCTGGACCGTGCTCAACAGCCCCACGCTGTCACCTGTGCACAACAAAGAACGTTTATACAGTGCAACGAAATCTTTTTTTGGGCACATGTTCCATGAACACTCCATTTGCTGCAACATGTTTCATAAAATGCGCAAATTGACATCTTAAACCCGTCACAATTAAGCAGTTACAGAGAGAGGTGTCTTCATTCCTTAATTTGTTTGTTCGTTGTCTAATTAAAGAATCACAATTAGCAAAAATAAAAAATAAAATAAATAAAAACAAGTATTAGAAGATGATGAGCAACAGTCGGTACAATCCAACATTCATGAGCTCCGTGACTGGTTACTGTGCAACAGGCGCGCGCTGTGGTAACGCCACGAATGACGTATTCAAAAAGATATCTAAATTATTATTATTATTATTATTATTATTATTATTATTATTATCCATCAATCAGTTTTTTTCCACTAACCTTATCAGGGTCGTGGGGAGGGTGGGGGGTAACCCCTGTACAGGTGGCCAGTCTATTGCAAGGCTAACACAGAGAAACAAACAACCTATTGTTGTTGTTGTTGTTGTTGTTTTTGTTGTTGTTGTTGTTGTTACAGTCACAATTTCCTTTTCTTAACAGTCAGTTTCAATTGAATGAATTTCACTTAAATTTCAATTAAAACAGACAGGCAGGCAGCGTATCACAGGCAGCACGCGACAGCGATGATAATCATAATAATATCTTTTTTCCGTCACGCTCCATTTATGGCCCCAGCTGAAAGTCACTTTTAGTCGTCCTTTTTGGACGGAGCTGCAGGGAGACGGTCACACACGCTTGGCTTGTACTTGGTGAGCTTTTTCACAAATGGAACTCTGGCAGGTTTCAGTCGCTTTTCTATTCCCGCTCTAACAATGAGGGGAAACCGTGCGCGCGCGAGTGCGGCTGTGTCATTTATCCAACAGTAAGTGGGCAGCGCTGCCGCAGTAAATAAGTGCACCAGCAGAGCGGTCGATGCGCCACTTGTGCCAGCCAGTGCGGGTTTGACTGGGAGGACTGGTTGACAAATAAAAGCACAGTGGTGGGCCCCGGAGCGCGCGCCTCATTGACACACGCGACAAATGAGCGCACCCCGGTGTACCGAAGAAGACTGCCCGCCGGTCTGTAAATGCGCGTCTATTCACGCCATTCACTGCAAACACTGACTTTGTTCTGCGGACAGAAGGGACCTTCTGCAGGCAGGCTACGTGCGCGCGCACTGCGTGTGTGGACATCGGCGGAGAGATGGAAAGCCGCGGCCGTGGGAAGAAGGCCACTTGCGTCCTCATCGCCTTCAATGCAACACGTCGCGTTGTAAATGAGACTGTGTTGCTGTCTGCGTGATGAAGCTGTGGGCCCGACACTTCCGCACGCGCATCCTCTAAAGTCGTCTGCAGGACGCGCGCGCTCGCTTCTGGACTAAACGTGGGCCTGCTGAGCCGAAAGCCGCACAGCTCCTTTACGCGAAATCTGTTTGTGAGAATGTGTGAACAAACGAAGACCTGCAACCAGGCATTCCGGCTGTTCTCTAAGCACAACTTTCATCTTTCTTCATTTAGCTGGATCCTGTCTGGAAATCCACGTGACGAGCGTGAATTGACTGCAGTTAGATATGAAATCGAAACGAAATTTCTACTTTGTGCTTTAAGGCTGTTGACGTTTGCGAGTCTCGGCTTCTGGAATTTGCTTGTGTCTCGCTAGCAAAGAAAAAACAGTCCTCCCTCTCGGACACCCCACGATTACCACTTTGTCAGTAAGACAACAGTGCCTGTGTGTTTGCAATGCCATACTACAAAAGCGTGTGTGTGCGTGTGTGTTTGTGTGTGTGTGTGTCACCCCTCCCATTGCTGAAAACCAAATGATGAACCGTGCAGGTTTTTAACGCGCCGTGACCGCGCGCTCCACGCAACGTCATTGATAAACGCAGAGTGGCTCTGAACGGGCCGACCTGCGCGAGCGCAGCAAGTGTTCAAGTTCCCATGCGGTCCCTCGGTCTGCAGCATGCAGCAGACTGGACGGTGCATTAAAAACCGGCCACACCGATCACGATGTGCATGCGAGGAGTAGTGGGTG